AAGAAGAAGAAGAAGAAGAAGAAAAATAGCTAGAAATAAAAAACTCAAATCCTACCTCTTAATTCAAGACTGGAAATACGTCCAACTAAGTCTTCTTGCAGTTCTCAGCTAGCTAGAGGCTTACGAGCTGTTGCCTTCCTAGCAGAATTTCTTGTGCATCTGACTCAAGGAAAAGTGTGCCGACTTTTTGTCAAAGTCCGCTAACCAGTGGTCATAATTTACTTCTGGAAACAACGGGCCGGGATACTCTGTATTCAAATACTATTCTGCGCATGACCGGATAATGACGTAAGTAATCGCCTTGGCAACTGCCTTGGTGAGTCACCGCAATTCAGACCCCAGCATGAGAAAGAAGTCTTGTTTTTTAATAGTGTTTGCATTAGAAGTACTTCACATATGACCTTTTCGTTAGTTATTTCATCGAAAACTGTAAGTTGATATTGAGATTGTTTTCATGAAACGATCGCATGCACGCTCGGTATTTTACCCTTGGCACTATTGGCCAGCCAAAAGCCGTCATATGCCTCTGGTACCCATGAGACTCACTGTTGAGAGGATCAAACATTGACGGAGTATGACATGATAATATGTTAATCTATATTGAGTCATTTATTTCAACATCACATTAGGGGCCAAATCCCAGCGTGGTCCTTGCTTCTCGTTTGAATGAAGTTCAATAACAAAAGGAATGCTCTCGTTTGGGAAGCACCGGTTATTGATATACAACACGTACAAAGATCGGTATCATGACATTCTGCTTAAAAGCTGCTTAAAGCTGTGTGAAAAGGCATCTGGAGAAGAACAAAGGAACTCGTTTCAAGTAGGAATACTTCATCGATTCATAACAAGTGTGTAGTCAACAGGCGTGATGTCATATCTCGGATTAAACTGCTTCTTGGTTGTCGACAAATGTGAAAAAAGTAGACGCAAAAAATATTTTAGAACAAGAAAATATATTTTTTCTTTGCCTATTCCAGGATTACCTATCTGATGTTCTCTTTCTCTCACTTTTCTTTTAATGGAGCCTTTTCCTTTGGGCATAATGGTTCCTTAACTCAAACCTCTTTTAAACCAAATTCACATGTATCTTCTAAACAGGAACTAAAGACTGAGTCTAATAATACCCAAAACGTGAACTTACACGTTATCTGTAAACGGCGGGAAATTAGCCTTGAAATAAAWGGCAATTGTTCTCCTTCTCTGTTTATCTTAGGGTTTTTTTTTTTTTACTTTTGAGAACATTGCTGATCGCCGCATTAATGCGGTACTGCATGAGTGAAAAGTGATAATGAAAATGAGTTTCTTGATACAATAAAGTAATAAAGCCAAAATGAGCTATTCTATATACAAAGTTTTTCTAACGTTTACACTCAATAGGTGAATTTTGAATATTCCAAGTTACTGTAATTTTCATAAACATGCGAACTCTGTGTCTGCGATTTGGTTTTTCGCTGCCATCAATCAAACCTAATCAGTCGGCACCTTTCATATTTTTGATTGACGGCARCCAAAAACCATATTTCAGCTTGCAACCCGGAGACATATAGAGTTTGCATGTTTATGAAAATTGGAGCAATGGACATTTAAGAATAGGAGTTTTAGAAATACGAAGTTTTTTCAAATTTCTTAAGATTATACAGTTCACTTCACTGTCTCTTCCATTTTTATTAGAAACGTCTGATTGCCGAACTCTCCTTCTTTTTGAGTAATGAAGAAATAATTTGAATTTTAGAAAAGCCTGAAACAACCTTTGGGCGTGGCCGACATCAGGCCATACGGCTAACTCAGATCAATGAACCAACCTCTAGGCTGATCTAAGTCAGAGCATGGCTAACTCACATATTGAACCCTGAAACAACCTCTGGGCTGATCTAAGTCAGGGCACGGCTATAACTCACATATTGAACCATGAAACAACCTCTGGGCTGATCTAAGTCAGGGAACGACAAACTCACAGGTCGAACCCTGAAACAACCTCTGGGCTGATCTAAGTCAGGGCATGGTTAACTCACAGATCGAACCCTGAAACAACCTTTGAGCTGATCTACGTCAGGGAACGACAAATTCAAAGATCGAACCCTGAAACAACCTCTGAGCTGATCTAAAGTCAGAGAACGACAAATTCACAGGTCGTGAAAAACGGAGAAAATTCTCGAATTTAAGCCGCGGAGAGACCTAACATTAAAAAAAACCCTCTCACGATTAATTCTAAGTATAGATAATGAGAAAGAAGCCGATTTCATGACCATCTGTTCATGCATCTTTTCAGATGACAGAGAAGAGATTATGCCATAACGAGGACTAATGAAACTGTCAACACAGCAGAAAAAAATACTAACAAATTTTCTTATCATCAGTCTGTATCTCATATTCCTCGTTTGCAAGATAAACATTTTTAGTTTCATTTTTAGAAACGTTATTTCAGGTTAAGCAATTAGCGCATGCGCAATAGTCCCCATATAAAATTTCTTGGCCGACGAGCTTCATCATTATCTTCAAATTTTATCGATACCCTAAAACAATCGCTTAGCTGACAACAGTGTTGAAGAGTTCATTATTAAATGTGAACAATTAAAGTGCCTATGACACCTAACTCGATATTTTCAGTATTGATTGTTGATTCTAAATAAAGTGAATAATTAAAGATATATTATATGTAATATATTATATAATATACAAATCACATAAGGGTGCTGAAGAGTTTACTTGTTCCTATATCTGTCATATATTAGTTATATCTTTGTTGTATAATATTTATATATTAGCTATATATCATTTCATATATTGTAGAGTCCCATCTGACAGGCGCATTTGGGAACATTGGAAAATGCGCGGTATAAATGTATTATTATTATTATTATTATTATTATTATTATTATTATTATCATTATATTTTTAGCTTCCCTTAGCAGGTGGTTTTAATGTTTTTCAAAAAGATACAAAAGAAAGACATTGCTGAGTTTTATATCGAGCAGGGCCCAGTTTTACGAAGGGTGGATACCCCTATCCGATGGATAAATCCTTATCCACTGGACAAGATTTAACCGTCGGATAGCGCTTTCCGCCCACCGGGCCCTGGACGACTGGGGACGCCGAAGAACTATTGACCAAGAATCCACACTCATTCAACTTAACTGATAAATACTGTGCGATACAGTTGAAATACCTCGCATAATCCATAACTTTTTTTCTGACTCCCAGAGATGCTTCCAGAGCAAGGAAACAATTGTTTAAACAAAAGTTTATGACATAAAAATTTTTCATATATATAGTTATATAATACCGGCATCATGCTCGACAAATAAAGCCTGGTTTTGCCGGATCAAATGAACAAAAATCACTGGGAAATAGAGATATTCAAGGCATCGTTTTCAGAATTGTCCTGTTTCGACCCATTGGTCCTTCCACGATATAAAACTCCGCAATGGCCACCATTTTGATATTTATATACAGCAAGATTTTTATAGCATACAGCAAACGAAACTAAAGGGCAACTCTTTTGTGAAAGTCAAGCAGCAAGCAACATGCCGGGCATAAAAAATCACCAACTAGACGCATATCTGCGTGAACTCGGTCTTCATAGCAGAAAATCGAAAGAATTCTTCGTGAACACTATCATCTTTCTGACGCCCTTCTGACGAAAACTTGAAAAATTCCGCCATTGCTCGACCATGTGCTTATGTGGCGCATACTACGCACGCGCATAGAACTTGCGCATGCGCTTTCAACGCAACTGCGATTTGTGACAGAACGCAAATTAAGCCCAATTTATACCTCGGGCATTTCTTTGAAAGCCCGAGTAATAAAAACTCGTGCCTGCCTCATTACTAATTCACAGCATGAAAAACTCCACAATTTGGGTAAGTTAAATTCGGACGTCATAGGAAACAGAAGGATTAAATTTTATATAAATAGATGAGATTCTGTTGACACTAGAATGTATTTGAACACTAGTTCATCTCAGGTAAAATTGAATCACTGTTATCTTTCCTATTCATTTCCTCTTAATTCATTTACAATTTCCTTTTRAATCTTTCATTTAAAATTGAAATTTTCAATGAGAAAAATCACATTGAAACAGAATGTCCTCATTGTTCTCAAAAAGTTAGTTCATATTCTTTAAACTTTAAACCTTTTTTTTTTTTGACAATTAAATAAACTACTCGAATTTCAGATTGAATCTTTGATAACAAATTTAAAGATGATTTCCACATTGATAAAGGAAAGTTTTCTCACAATTTTACGGAATCCAATCCCAAGATTTTCACTTTTCTTAGAAAAAATGTGCTCTTTCTCATTTCCAACTTAAACTTAAATTAAGAAACTTAAACAGAATTTCCACATATTTTTCACAAAGTGAAGAAAATTTTTGGACTTTATTAAAAATCGCTCTTCGTTTAGAATTTTGTATTGAATCTTCGATTCAAAATAGAAACAGATTTTCCACATTTAGAGAGAAAAACTTTCCACTAAAACTACTATATAATTTTCGACGTTTCTTAACCTTCATGAAAGAGTTATAGAAGGTAATTAAAACTGAACATCCGTCACTTTCAATGAACGTGATAATCATAGTTTCGTGAAATGCGAGATAATCTGTTAATCAAGAACGTGATCTAGGCTAAGATACCCAAAATAAGTTGTCACTGATACATTAATCTTGGGAAAGATAAAATTTTCTCTCTTCAAATGTTTGGGCGTGATTTTGCTTAAAAAAGACTTGCTTCTTAACCTAGGCCTCTATCCTGTTGTTTTTCCGTAGAGAAACCTCTCGGCATTTATGCGTTAAAATAATTAAAAACTTGTTTCTTTCTGGGTTTTTTCTTTACTCTTAAAACGTACTGCCACTTCATGCTATTTACGTACTTTTCTTTAAAAAATAACACAGTCAAATAAAAAGAAATTCTGACGATTCCTTCATTTCTTTCTTACCCTCTTTATACAATTGGGCTCCTTTTTTTTCTTTCTTTCTTTCTTTTTTTTTTTTTTTCGCTTCTTCGTACTGGTTGCGTAATTCCCTATATATCTCTCTTCAGTTCTTTCTTTTTTCTTCCCCCATTAATTTTTCTTTACGTTCCCTTTTTTCTTTTATCTTCCCCCCTCTCCTTTTTCATTCGTTTCTTTAACTTAGCTTTTCGCTACTGTTTCTCTAATAAATAACACAATAATTTTCACTCACTCATCCCTTCCTTGCTTTTATCTATTGAAAATATTGTTTCTCCTCTTGTTTTCATTTTGTGCTTCAGTTCTACTACATACCCATTCATCATTACATACCTTTTCCCAAAACCTTTCTCTAGCTATCTCGCTCTGCAGGGAAGCGATGTAATTGATCTGTGTTACTCTAACCAGCGTATATATACYAAAAGGTTGGATTAGGAGAAGTCAAGCGACGTGATTTGTTAGCACTCGTCTAGCACTCGTGGGTCACAGGATTTATATAAAGCGCCATTCGAGTAGATTCACTTTTAATCACGCAAAATTTCATTTCTGCCATTTCTGCCAAGATTCTGCCATGTATTTTAATTCAGTCAAATATAGATTGAAACTTAATTAACACAGATCAAAGAAACTACAGCGCGGGTCACGGATCTTTCTGGAAAGCATTATCAGTAAATACCCAACGAAATGATATTTAGAGGATGAAAATAAACACTTAAAACAAAACAAAAACAAGCTTTAAGTATCAGTGGGATTCGAAATGAATCATTAAACCCGCAGCGGGAAGATTTCCTTCTCAAACGACCATTAAATAACCATTCTTTTTCAGCCTTGAATTAAGATTTTACGAATTTTAGCATCGGCTTCCAATTATAAGCAAGTAAACTTCGTGCACTTTTGCACGCCTCAACCAATGCGGGAAAAAATGCAATATAAAATTAAGGCTATTTTTAATAAAAATCACAATGATCAAGATTTGAAACCAACATAATAATAAGAAGTTAAAGTTTGGAAATTAAGGGTTCAGTTGAATGACCAACGTTGCCATAGAAACGGTAAAAAATGATAACTGAGTAAACAAATATATGTGTATGAGAATATATATGAAATATATATATTTGTACTGAAGGTTGTAATGTATCAAATTGAGCTAATCCTCGCAGTATAAGAAGCAACTTATGCAGCTGCAATTCGAAAGACTCAGAAAAAATTCTGAGTCTTGAACGGGATTTGAGTAAACAAAACCAAACGGTTAATTTTGAAGAAAGGCGTATCATTTGATTCTTTTTTTTTTTTTTGAATTGTGCGATCAATAAAATGAAAGATTTATTGTAGGATATAATTTGTGTTCCAAGGTTACAGGTCTTGCATTTTGGATAGTCACTTATCGAGGGAGAACTAATTTCCAACATTCAAACAGTGCTAATATTAATATTTATTAGCAGCTATTAGGTTTCAAGACGGTTGCTTGAAAATTTCAAACGGCCAAACAAATATGCAGCCAGCACTAATAATATTAATAATTATTAGCAGCTATTAGGGTTCAAGGTGGCTTGAATATCTCAAACCAAACCAAAATTGGACCAGTACTAATAATATTATTAATTATTAGCAGCTTTTAAGATTCAAGACAGTTGCTTGGGAATCTCAAATGGCCCTACAAATATGCAAGCAGCACTAATAATATCAATAATTATTAGAAGCTATTAGGTTTTGAAGACAGTTGCTTGGAAATCTCAAACGGCCCAAACAAATATGCAACCAGTAGTAATAATATTAATAATTATTAGCAGCTATTAGGTTTTGAAGACGGTTGCTTGAAAATCTCAACGGTCAAACCAATATGCAACTTTTACTAATAATATTAATAATTATTAGCAGCTATTAGGTTTTGAGTCTAATAAATTGGCTTATCTCAACTTCAATCAATATTCAACAAGCAGTAATAATATTAATGATTATTAGCAGTCATTAGGGTCTAACAGAGTGGCTGCAATAAATCAAAGCAACCAGTTCCCCCCTCAACTACTCTCCCTACGACAAGCCTTGAGGACGGTGACTTAAGACTCTCCGTGTCCCCAGACAGCACAGCACCTCGAAGAAAATGAGTCGTAGTCTCAAAACTCATTTTTTGAAAGGGAGAGGCGCTGGATTCGATACCTATACGGTTGAATGCTTTGATCTTGCCCTCGTATGTCATGTACTCGGCTACTAGATTCAAATGACGGTGATCTACGTGGATGCCGTATCCGCCAAAGACATTTTTTACTTCCTGTAGGAAATGAAAGAGAAATTTGCGTCAAAATATTTTATCAGTAGTTTGCGTTTACATTTGCACCTCCAATTTTTATTTAAACTAACATTACGAATTACTAAACACAAGATCTGGGAACTCAAATAACCTAAGAGTTATCGAGAATGAATACCGATTAGCTGTCATGAATGATCGTAAATGAAAGAGAAAAGTGTAACAGACCCTAAGAAGAGATGCGTAGGAGGCTTGTGCACCCCGACTGTTAACTGTGGGTCGCAGGCTAATCGTATCTCATTCTAAGTTTAACTAGAAGGTTCACTTTCACGAAAGCATGTCGAAGGACAATGAGGAAGGAAAAGACGTGTGAACATTAAAAGGCGTGGTATATCGTGGTGAATGGTTTTAGATGCCCACAGGGTAGATAAAAGAAAGAGGGCATTAAGGCATAAAGAAGACAGATAGCAGTGAAGACTGATCATGTGATTAAAAAGTCCTTCCGTGGATTCCCTTCTGTCAAAACAAAAGCTACTTCCTAGAATGTGAACATGATCATTCATGTAAGTGGTAGGGGTAGAAGTTTAACAAAGGCACAAAGACATAAGAAAATAACAAAGGCACAATGAARAGTTTCAGAAGGAGTTAACCAAGTTAAAAAGGCATTACTTTTCGAAATCTGGAAAACTAGAATTTCAAAACAAAATTTCGATAAGAAAAACTCGGAAGTTATTTTCTATTCATTAAAATGTTTTTTGTTGTTTTTTTTGTTATGCTTTTTTGGAAAGAATACATTGAGGAGCCATGCAATTTTAGTAGTTTGTGTTTTGGCAATAATTGTCAGTCACATGCGAATATTAAGACATTTAACACAATCAAAAAGAAAGTCGATTTCGGCAAACGTCAAACAAACACTTCAACAAAAAGTAAAAAAAAGAGATATTTTTGCTTGGCGTTTGGCAATGGGAACAGAATTTAAGTTTGAATGTTTGCACTCGATGTGCTTGTTTGATGTATTGTTTGCTCTTGTTAGCTTCTCTTTCGTTCCTTTTCTCTACCAATAGAAATGAAACTTGTACGCATAGAATTATATTGAATGTAGTGAGTAGAGTGCTAGATTGGAGAAAAGTATTCATATCGAGTTTTTCCAACCACTAAAAGAAAAATTATATCATCTGGTTGCGAGAAGAACGGCTATTGCACAGTGTATTCTCTGTTTTGCCATTGATAAATAAATAAGCCGTTATCTTAAGAGGGCAAAGACATATTAACATACAATATTTGGTATTTGTGAATCTCAACGTTTCTTTTTTTTTTTTTTTTTTTTTTTTTTTTTTTTTTTTTTTTTTTTTCTGTGAAAGCTATTCATTGCTTTTATCTGCTAGACTTTGATAACTCTAAGAGCCAATATTTCGTCTTTTCTCTTCAAGGAAGTAGTTCAAAAAGACAAGATACTTCAAAATGTTATTGTATTAATACCTTTGTCTAACTTTTAATCTAGAAGCACTACTTGACATTAAAAACTAAGGGTTAATATTTCGTCTTTTCTCTACCAGGAAGTAATTTAAAGACAAGACACTTCAAAATGTTCTTGTATTAACCGTTATTATGTTTATTCACCTCTTGACTTCGGGGGAAAAAACATGTTTCAAGTGCTTAATAAAACGGCATGAGTTGAGAAACTTACACGAAATTAACTGAAGGGTTTCAAGTGGATCTTACATAAACAAACCCTAAGGGCTTATCATGTTTTTAAGTTTTGCTCTCGAAATTAATGATAGCAGTAAAATATTCATAACCTAAAATGTTCAATTCTAGAAGGGTGCTGAATTTTTCGCATCACTATGCTAGTAAATGCTAGTCAATGAGATCTTGATTATTTCCAGACGAATGGAGTTTAGGCTTACAAATCAAGGAATTGATAACTCAGAGCATTGTAAATTTGATGTCAGTACAAAAAAAATGAAGAAAAAATGTGTTTCCTAGATCACAGAAACATGAAAAATCCATGTTAAAGAGGAAAAAAACAACAATTGAGCGAATATAAAGGGTTAGGTAAGCAAAATAAAAAATAGAGGTTTATTTTCGCAATCATTTGTTACCTTGGCGATGACGCGTGCGGCAGCCTCGATTCCATACGTGTTAGCCACAGCGTGAATATCATTGGTGTAGAGTTTGTTGACGTCCAGGATGTCATGGTGACGGAAAGCAACCTGTAATGACAAAAACCCGTCTAAGTTGAGCAAAGCAGTTCCACTTTCCATCTAGACTCACTAAAGATGCGTTTTTAGAATATATATCAAGTTTTAGGTCTCAAGTGGACGCGAGTCTCTCCAAGCAACCACATGATTCCTAAAACAAGATATCCAAAAAACTCGTCTTTATTGAGTCTGGAGGGAAAGGGGGACTGTTGGCAGACTTAGAAAGTGCTATGAGAACATTACAGCATTTTGAAGTATTCGAAATTTTTGGAGCTGTTTTCATTGGTATTAAGTAGAATCATTTATTATTCCTTTTCCTTCTAAACGGCTAGCAGAAAAGGCCGACTTGACAGTGCTTACTTAGACATTTCTGTTTAATTGTTTGTCTACTTTTTTTTTTTTTTTGTTTGTTCATCAGGGCCCGGTTGTACGAAGCCTGAATAGCGCTATCCGACGGAGAAATCTTATCCAGTGGATAAGTTTATTGGATAACAGCATCGACTTATCCACTGGATAAGGATTTATCCGCCTGGTAGCGCTATCCACCCTTCGTACAACCGGGCCCAGATTGATTAAACGATAATTTTTGTTAAGGAAAAACCTTTTTCATTCAGACTGGACCCCATCCACAAGCCTTCTATATGTTTTTGCTTGTTTATCTATTGGTCGTTCGTTCGATTCCTATTTCCCATTTGCCATCAAATTTAAGAAGGATTCCATTCTGCTACTCACTTGAAAATTAACTCCGTCTGTYTTGAGATAAGACGAGTCTTTTTCTTCAACCAAAAAACACCTCCTGATCCCTGGAGTCTCGTAAACAACACTCTAAAATACAATGAATCATATCGTTTATTCTAAAACACAATGAATCATAGGCTTAATATCGTTTATTAGCAGTGCCACAGCTCGTTTTTTGCTGCAACCATATATGTAATGATAATATCTCGTAGAACTCATTGCCTTGGGCGCCATCTCCTTTTTCAAATTAAAATAAAATCAATTTCAGACCACGTGCTATCTAGTTTAATGATAGTTTAGGTAAATGTAATCCAGACAAAGAATGTTAACCTCAAAAAAGAAAAAGAAAAAGAAAAAGAAAAAGAAAAAGAAAAAGAAAAAGAAAAAGAAATGACACGTGGGCTTAAATGTGAAAACTGAACGCACAAACTTAAGGAGTCTAACATCAATCTCTGTTTCGAATAAATCGCAAACCAAGAATTAAAAAAAAAACATTAACCGCAATATTCAAATACCTGCAGAGCCAGTTTCTCGATCAAACTAGTTAGTCGAACTTTCCATCGCAATACAGGAAACTAAAACGAGAATGAAAAAATATATATTATCAATTTATTTCGGTCTGCGCCAGACTTATTGTTAACAATACAGATAAGTGCAAGTTGAAACAAGACTAAAGATAGAGTAGAAACATTATACAAGATGAAGGCACTTGATATATTGGGCTACACAGGCTATGTGTAGTGACTATTACCTTTATAACAACTTCACACCAACGTTCGTCTTCAATATCGTAGGAATAAGATGAGATATGTGGATCACTGTGAACGACACGCTGCAACCAAAATTCATAACGATTACTCCTTTCCTCATACTTAAAGGCTTTATTTTCGTAGCACTTAATAGCCTAATAAACTTGTGGCCTCTTAAAATATTACTCTCTACAATATGGATAAATAATATATGGATTCGCGCATGTGATTTGGGTTGAAATTAAGATTGGCTTCAAAGTTAACCTGACCATGAAATTATCACGTTACTTACTAGGTTTACAAAGGTGCTTTATTTGTAAAATGTGTGTGTGGTGCTTGTGTGGGGGAGGGGACGGTGTGTGAAGGGGATAGGAGGGTGAGTAAATGATCGTATTCTGCTTTTCATACATCTTGTCTGGTCGCATCTATCTGTGATGTACTTT